CGAACAGCGGTAGCGGAGCAATGATTTCCACGCACAATGCAATGGTCGGCATACTAGCGCATTCAAACGGTTCAATAAGTGGGACTGTGTGCATTGCTCAGCTGGCGCTCTTCGTATGTGAAACACACATTTGCTCAGAGAGCGCTCAGCATTCTTTAGGGGTGGCTCACAAGCATGAATATGTTCCACTCTCAAACCAAATCGTGGTGGCCTCAACTAAGATTTGGTAACTATGACTAAACCATGGGTTGAAAGAAAGCTTATCTGCATTAGCAGAGCTTAATAACATCCTTTTATGAACCATACGTTAAGTTGAATGGAATTTGTAGGAATATGCTTCAAAGAAATATTTATTAGTATTAACCAAATCCTTCAACTAAATTAACTATTTGTTACAACCTAGACGAATATTAGAAGCTTTAATATATTTAGCTATAATTACCAACCCATGGTAGTAGTTCCCAATCCGTGGTACTTCGGGAACTAAATATCTTTAGTTGTCGGAACTAATCTTTTTTCTCAGTGTAGCATGGAGGTACATACTCAAAAAGTGATATCAAGCGCTAACCATTCATAATTGTTACAATTATTTAAAATAAATGTAATTACGCATATTAAACTCCGATTGTTTTTATTTTATTTTCTGTCTTTATTTGAAAGTATGTTTTTCGATTGCCAATGAATTTCATTTATAAAAAAAAATCTATTTTTTATAGCATATTTGGATGAACTTTATTAAAAATAGATGGAAAAATTATATGGAAGTATCATTATCTAGCGGCTCTCTTTGCACTTAGAAACTTAACTTAGAAATCAAAAACCTATTGTTCTCCAAGTTTATTCAAAAGCTAACAAGTAGCTAACAATTCGTAAATACGTTGAAAAAAATGTATGTAATGGTAAAAACATTTCTTTTTAATTAGCTCTGATCCAGTACTCCATGCCCTTACAGGGTTTTACACGAACTTGCGGGAAGTTACAGGAAAAATGATCCCGTACTCCAAATTCCTCCAAGCTCCTGCAAATGGGAGCGATTTTGGAGAGTTGTATAGAGAATGAAGTTGCAACATTTTACCCGAACTTTTACTTCTAGTAAAATCATGAAAAGTGTCAAGCCATCACGGGCTGACGTTTTTCGTTCGCAAAGTTTCCATCAAAGTTGGATCAAAAGTGATACAATTTTCCATAAATTTTGGAGAGATAATTTTTTTCAATTTTGATACTTTTCCAAATACAAATGAAAAAAATCTGTAAATATGTATGCAAAACAAAACAAGTCGTACAGGTGTACGTACATACAAAAGTTCATTGTCGTTCACTGAACGAACCTTTCATGTGTTGTGATTCATGGTCCATACGAATAACGTCAAAATGTGAATAAACGAACAATATCATAGCGTTGAATTTTTTTTCGCTATGTTCAATAACTAAAGCTTGCTATACAGTTCAATGCGAGCGTGAGCGCGAACATCTGCCAAAACTTGTCGTTCACATGCGAATGCTTTGCGTACGCACACAGTTGAGTGTGAGCTTGAAAAAAAAACATATGCATTTTAAATAAGTTTTTATTTTATAACTAGCCAATGCCCGCTTGCGTCGCGGCGCCTAATAAGAACTTTTGCGTTGGCCAATGCTAAAGAGCGGTTAAAAGCAAAAACAGTCTGTAAAGTCAAAATTTTTGGTTTAAGTTGAAACCACTAAGGCGCAGTATCCTCCTCACACATAGGCGAATAATAGTAACGCTGTGATACCATATGGAATACCAATCCCTTTCGGTGTCAGGAGCTTTACCGATGGTCTTATTTCCACCTGTGAGATGTCTGCCAAGCATGCGTAACCTTTTTCTGTGATCTGCGATGCGTACGCCAATAAAAGTTCTTATAAGGAAACTAAAGAGCACACAAGTGCGTTTTCTGTTATAGGAGGGCCAAGAATCCTCGCTGTCCCACAGGCTGAAAAGTTTTCCGGTACATTGGCTAAATGAGTCGTGTGATCTCTTGAATATCTTTCAAATGAAGCAATTGATATACCTACGGTGATCTTTATTTGTTAATTCACAACTTTTACAATTCGTGGTAATATTTATGAACTGATTTCTAGGTCGATGCAAGATCGCATGATCATGCATGAGGGCGTCAGACAAACTTAACCCCATTCTTCGTTTAGACATCTGAAAACTAAACTCGTATAACTTAAACATAGAACCAAAGCAGACCAACGGGGTTTCTAAACATTTCGGCTGCAGCGCCATCCATTGGGTCCATTTTCTGCAAAACCATTGCTTACCATAAAATGAGTACGTGTTATGAATTTCAACGTTGACTCCAGCGGCACTAATCGGGTAAATTTTTTTCAAAAGAATTTTTCATTATACAGGTACATAGCTCACATTTATAATTTGAACGCAATCGGTTAATAAATATGATTTTTATAAATAACTCTACTCTAGCACCACTTAGAGAGTTTTCTAGTAGCATGTTATAGGACCATATATGTAAGATAACCTCCGGCAATCTGACGGAACTCTATTCAGTGGTTTTTGAGTTTATTCTGAACAACGAAAACGGCTATCATATTATGCAAATAGGTATGTAGATAGGACAGTCTATAACGAAACTTAAAAAATTAAAGCTCCATTCTTTGTGTAAAATTTAAAAAAAATCTTCAAAAATTTTCACATAAATTTTACGTTTTACTACAAATTAAAAACAAAGTTACAATAGTTCAATGGGATTTAGAAATCTAGGAGAAAATGGTTCCCAGTCGAATGATACTTGCGCGTTTACGTAAATGTATATCGATTGCAGCCTTTCCAAATATTACCACTTTTCGCCATGAGTACGGTATTGAAAACTTATGTGGCTTTGTCGTATTTCAGGACGGTAGCGTAAGTGGTTCCAGAGATAAGCTATATGAGAAGTTCAGTTTGTATAGAAGGTGCCACGCCCCCTTTTCCAATGCATCTGCAATATATGCATCAGTGCTAAGTTTCAGTTCCTCAGCGTAATTGTTTTTAAGGATATATTGGGTTTTTACGTTTTAGTATGTATAAGAAATTTAGGAATATCCCGAGCTACTTACCGAGTAAATTTTGGTCGGAATATTTATTTTCAAGGTGCTGGCATATGTTCCAAATGTGAACCAAATCGGTGCAGCCATTTAGTAGTTTAGTGCAATACATTCTACAGAGAACTGTATGAAATTGTAAAGCGTGACGTCTCACATTCTCTAATTTTTTGACAGCAACAACAAAAAGTTCTGATTTTTTTTAGCGAAAACCCTTCCACACAGAAGTACCAAAAAAGTGCGATTGGTTATGCTTGAACACACTTAATTGAATGTCAATAAAATTAAGTTTGTGGTTATATCAAGGCGAAATTTTGAGAACTGTCCATTGCTAACTCTAAATATAAACAACAACGCACTAGCAAATGTTAATAGATTCAAATACCTATAAATAATGATCGACGATAAACTAAAACAAAAAAAAAATATGGATTCTATATTTTCAATTAGAGCTCTAGCGATATGTACATCAGTGAAAACTACATTTAATTCCATACATTAGTTTTTGCGTGATGCACTTAAAAATATACAGAGAGACAGACCAAAATTATAAAAATTTTAGGTTTGGCTTCTGTTGATCTATTAATTTTTCTTTAACATCTATTATGTACAGCTATTTTTATTTTTATTTTTATTTTTTCGTAGGAGATGGAAATGCTTTATGCACTGGCCGGGGGCGCTAGTCTCTATACTACCTTCCCCGAGTGTGGGACTGCCACCGAAGCGTGTTGGGCTACCCATTAAAACTGTGCGGTATGCAGAAGCAATGCGTAGTGCTCCTCTGCGCTGGACCGACAACATTTGAATCCGGTATTTTTTGACTTTCAATGCGTCGGCCCATATTTCTGCCCCGTACAGGAGCACCGACTGGACTGCTGTCATCAGAAGCTTCCTGCATGGCATGGTTCGCCATCAGCCGGCTTAGAGCCACCGTGCTCTGCGCAGCTTTTCACATACTCCATGGATGTGTTCCCAGAATGTGAGTTTGCTGTCAAGCTTCACCCCTAGGTATTTTTTACATAAATTTAAAACAACTTCAGAATCTAGAAACTCAAGACATTTGAGTAGAATTATTGATTAGAAATTTTTCTAAAATTTGCAAAATACTGAAAAATTTGCTATTAAAATTAATTTCAAGTGAATGAAGTTCCGCTAATAGGATTGATAATATGAACTGTTTCTTATTTATCAATTACTTACTAAATTTTATTGCTGGTATGGTACGCAAAAAATCCCGTTTTTCGACAGAAAATCCCATTCGCATTTTTTAGTCATAAAATCCCGAAAAAAGGACAAAATCCTGAAAATTGGCAACACTGGCACACACTTACCTTTCTCTACCTAGCGCAGCGATCGACATGCCATACTGCCGTCCCTAAATTGAAGCGCTAAGCGTTGCGTTATCCATTGTCGACGAGTGTCAGCGCGCGCTATCCCCAAATCAACGCGTCGTAATTTTTGACGTTTTCTCAGATCCTCTCGTTTTTATTCTCGTTTCCTCTTTCACTTTTTTGTCCTTTCTCTTTCTTTCCGTCTTC